CTGGAAAAGGGTTCTTTAGTTTGTATTCCGTAAATTAAATTCAAACTATTGCAGAAGATGAGATCGAGGCAGTTGTTTAGTCTAGTGTTGTTGGTTACTAGTTGTTCCAGTCCCAGATTTGTAGTAGCATTGTAGAAGGTTGTGTGTATGATTTCAGTTGTACAATCATTTAGGGTCCAGTCAATATGAGGTAGATTGAAATCACCAAGAAAGATAAAAGGGTATGGGCAGGATGCAGTCCATGTTAGTAATGTATTTAGCTTGTTTACATGTTCAATGTCATAATCAGGTGCTCTGTAACATAGTAAGAATCGAATTGTGATATTTAAGGATAGTTCACAGATGATGGTCTCAGGAAGAGCAAGCTCCTGGGTAACTTGGATATTTTTTAGATGTAAGGATTTTTTATAGAAGATAGCAACACCACCTCCTCGACGATTTTCACGATCTGATCGGTAAACATGATTATCTAACTGGGTAACTTCATCAGGGCCATATTACAGGTAATGAAAGGTCTTCAAGAAACAGCCAAACTCAGAGAGCACAAAGGACTCTAAAACCTACAGAAATTGATAATCAATCTACTTCCTTAGATACAGAAAGAACCACATTTCTGCCATGTGAAGCAGCATATGCATATCTTGCTTCCCCGATTTCTGCCATAGCTAAAAATATCATATTAAACTGTAATAGCATTCCACTGATTTCCAATCTGATCACTACTTTTACTATTGTGCTATTCATATAAGCATCTACAGCATATTACACTAATAAATTAAAATTATACGACAAAGATACAACTTAAAGAGCAACTCTTAAATTAACTTACCCATTACTATTATGCACCTCGCCCAAAAGTACTGGGATCACTCCAAATAAGTGTAAAGTTGACAAGGTATCTAAGGGAGGCCATTCATTATTATACCAATATACAGTAACAGATGTTTCATTAAAAGAAATGTCAGCCTGATCCATTTCATGTTCCTTTCCATTTTGATCCTTTAATAAGATTACCCATCTCAGAGCGGAGGTTCTGTGATTGGAAAAGAAAAAGTGTTGAAGGCTTTACACCATCCCTTTAATAAGGAAATAGTTTATTTAATTGTTTAACAATTACCACTACGTTTGGAAATTCCAAGGACATGTTTCAATATTTTTTTAAAAAATACTGTATATATTTTGTTTCTCCACCAAGATAGGCTCTTCAACAAGATTTACATATATCTAACCAACTATATTATTCAACTTTATGAATTTGTATTTTTGATCTTACAACTAAATATTAACAAGAAATAAAGAACTTCCACATGTTCCTCTGATTAACAGAAATTTATAAGTAAAATATAAAGCTATTAAATGTAACTTTTTATTAAAATCTTATTTTATTAACATTGCTTACTTGATAGCTTCTTTGGTTTTAAGTGGAAGACCAGTATATGTGTTTATTGGCTTAAGAAGCTGAATTACACTGGATCTTTGAGCAGCTATTTTTTTCATAAAATACTCTCTTTTCCAGCATCTTGACTTGGAATCTTGCAATTCCGGAAAGCTCAGAGATGTGCAGTCTTTATCCTGGACAGATGTAGTTTTCCATACTTTTCTTTTAGGTAGAAAAGACTTAGAGTATATTTTGAACCAGACAACACTATTGAAAACATACACATAAATACAAATACTATGACAGTTGCCAAAATCATTATATAATAAAACTTAAAAATAAGCCAATATTCAGATATGCATTCCGAAGATAAATTACTAACAGGATTCAATCATATATTTGAATTTAATGTAAGGAAGTCCTCATTTAAGTCCGTGGGTGGGACAATCCAATGGTATGCTGGAACTGGCTTACATCTACATATAAAAGCCAGTTTCAACTTTGTGGAATTTTGCAAACTGATTGATAGCAGAGGTGAGACTTACTATCCAGTATGCTAATAAGCTGTCCTATGGCTAGTAACAAGGCTACAATAATGAGCCAGCTGAGCTACATTAAGAATCCAGTTAATTCTTAAACATTTACCACTATGCCACTTTACAAATCCATGTTTTAATGAAATCAATGGCAATAATTTCACCAATAACAATGAGCCAGCACTACTATGAGTATAGCCAATGTCATAATTTCAACTTAGATTTATTTTGTTAGTGCTGAAAAATTAAATACGATTACTGAAAGATGTTATATTACCTAACCAATTTTTATCCTATCATTTTTCTAGGAAAAAAAGCAATATAGTTAAGTTGCTCTTCATACTTTAAAAAATAAATACCACTTCAAATCTACCTTTAAAACTTGCCTTAGTGAAAATAAGATGTTATTATCAAAAAATTAGCATCAATAGCAGTGATGGCATGCTACCAGTTAGGCCCAGTTCAGCCAAACCAGTAGTAAAAAAAGCTTCCAACAATCAGCTGAGAGGAGGAAAAAGATGGCCCTCCCACCAGCCCGTGTTTTTCTCTTCTTTATCCTCTCAGCTGATTGGTGCTGCAGGCCTCAGCTGGTATGTGGAAAGCTGTGCGCGCATGTTAGGTGCGCGCACACACACGTGATCACCAAACTGGTAGTGGAACAGGTAGGATCCCACTACTGATCAATAGTGCTTCAAAATAACTACAGAACTTCATATGCATATCTTGTTGTATTTATTTACAATATCATTTTCCTCAAAATGGTTCTCACTGCAGTGAATGCGGAAGAATATATAGCTTAAGACATTACCCAATCAATTTGTCTCATATAAACATTAAACAACTTGATTGGGTAATATCTTGAGCTATGTATTTTTCTTCATTTACTGCACTGGAACAGTGAAACCCTTCCTTTTTCCCTGATACATACTTCAAAGATTTTTATAATTTACATTATACTGACTACAATTATGTAGTAGCCATGACCCATGCTATTCCTTACTTGTCATTGGACAGATCATAAAAAAGCTTGTTCACACAGCCGATACACAATAGAGATGCAACATCTAAGTAGGAAAATATTTTCAGAAGTATTTCTGATGGTATGCTGCAGAAATGAACATGAGAAAACAATGTAGTGATTTGACTAAAAATTACAGCCAGCAAGGTGTGTTTTAAGGAATGTAATTTCCAAATAAAACTGAAGATTCACATTACAACTTCATTAAATCAAACTAAAAATCTCAAAAGCCACTAAGTCAGAAGAAATTAGTTCTTCAAAGCACAGAAAACTTCTTATGCTAACAATATAAATTACAATATGTAACTTTGAATCATTCATTTTAAAGGGCCTTTCTTTCAGTTATGGTATATTATATCAACAAAGGCTTTTCCAAAGATTATTGAATATTATTTTAACAGTAATTGTAATAAATAATAATATTTGGTAGGAACATTGGAAAACATTACATATGAGACCTGACCAAATTTCACTACGCATATATAATGCAAATATTCACATAATAATTCATATAATTTGCATTATATGAACAATTATACTTCTTTACTTCTGGCTAAGTATCATCAAGATGCTTCCTTCAGATATCTCAAGTCAAAATCAAATATCTTATGCCACTAAAGAAGCCTAAAACCATGAAAAGAAAAATATTCTGCATTTTGAAATTCTGAAAAATCACTGTAATTGTATGCTATATAAAAAGTGTAATATAATTTCCCATTTTCTACCAAATAATGGTTCTAAAATAAAGAATATTTCATTTCTACTAGTTAAATTATTATTTATATTACATCCTATTAATTACAACTGTCTTTCTTCCTTTGGATTGAATCAGTATTGTTTATGGAACAAAGTTGTCAGTTTAAATCCTCTACAATTGTTCAAAATTCATCAAAAATAGAATCTTCTTCCTTGAAAAAAAGGGTAAAATGTACTTTTGGTTAAAGACTCTTCCACTGAAACTAAAGACAAATACTGTATAGTAAATATCAAGAGTTATTGATGAGTCAATGCCTTAAAAACTGATGAAATAAAAATACTGATGCTGCATTTGACTTTTTCTTTCGTCTATAATGGAATTCACACATTGAGTCAGAGCTATCAAACTCCCAGTCTGCAGGCCTGATGCATCACAAATCACATGCCCGATTTAGCAAAAGGAAAAAAAATCCTGATATGTCACGTAATGCCCCCATGACAACGTGAGTTTGACACCCCTGCACTAAATCATAAATAAAGCTTTGTTCAGTTTTGGCTTTGTATACAGCTTGTTCATAAGTCTTGATTTACCATGCTATGTGCCATATAAATTCAATCAGTATGGTTTAATGGTATGCACAACCAGACCATCATTATGATAATTATATCTTGGTTTACTTTTATGTGAGAATATAACCAATGAGATGTACATATCTGAGTGAAAATGTTTCAGTTACTGCTATAAAGTAAAAATGCATCTTACCTGTCAAAATGTATTACAGATTTTGATTTATTTGGCTTCCTAAATTGCCAACTGCGTATCTCTTTCATTTTAGAAAGCTGCATTATTGATGAATATTCTGACTCAGCACTAGAAAAACAAACAAATACTTAATCTTAAAACTACTCTGACTCAAGTACTGTATGAATACTTACTACGCTTTGAAAAAATATTGGTAGGCCACTGCACATTTGAAAGATTATTTGAAAGATTATTATTATTACTGATTATTTTACAACAGGAACCCTCTTCCTTTGTCAATAACCTAATCAAACGTTCCCTACAGAATTATAAATGATGGATAATTACTAGTTCTATGTGTTACATTGCTATTAAAAGTGAATAAAAGAAAAACCAAGAGAACATACTGTAGCAGTTCCTTATACAGAACAAAATAACTCATTTAAGAAACACAAAGTATATAAAACTGGAGACTCATTATGCTAAGCAATAATATATTTTATTAAATTAATATGCCACTCATCTCACTATTGAGCAACTCTGGGTAACAATATAATTTATTCAATATAACTGAATTGAATTGAATGATTTACTGAACATAAATTCAATTACTGTTGTTGTATGGTATCAAAAACATGCCCACTGGGGAAGTGGATTTGTTTAACCACCATGCTTAATGCCTGCTGTAAAAATTGTTATAAAAATCTGATCTGACTCAGATGTATAACAGTCGAGTGGTTCTAAGTTGAGGACTACCTGTATGCAGTTCAACCACAGCTAAAACAACCATGATTAATACCACATATGAATCCAATTGTACCACACCCTAAATTCAGGTTTGTCTTAACATAAACTTAACATGTAAGACATGAGCAATTTATTAAATCAAGATAAATTTCTTATTTATTACATAGCTAACTTTTCATTTTAACTTATATTTCAAATGATATCTGTTGACCCTTGTACAGAAATCAAAATGTAATAATAGATTTATAATTTTAAAATGGCATTTAAACATTATTCAAGAATTTAGCCTCAATTTTCTAAATGTCAACTTTGTCCCAGGTAAACCAGATAGGATGAGCTAATTCTGCTCATTTCCATTCTCTCCTTTCACTAATCCATCTCTTTTACTAATCATGTTGATGTATTTTGTTTTTCCTTGTTTATTTTATTTTTCCATTATTTAATTTTGCTTTGTTTAAACTTCTTTATTTCTGTTTTTTATAGATGTGAGCCACCTACAGTAGCCTCATGGCAAGGCAGGCAAATAAATAAATTTAACAATAATAACTCCATCAAACAGATAGGATATCTACCTATCCCAGGTTCAAGGGCTCAATAACTAGACAAAAATGCCAAATCCAACTCTAACATTTGACTAACTATGGAACAAACCATAATAATAACTTTTTTTGGAAAGCTAAAAGAATCTTCCATGACTGAAGATACCAATTTCCTGTCTCCATTTTTAACCACCCAATCCATTTCCATCTCTGAACATTAAATGGGGGGACTCCTTCCTCTCTTCCCCTTTCCTGGAGGCCATTTCCACCTTTACACTTAACCTTAATGCTTATAAATCTCTTGGTTATTTACTCTGTTCTATTTTTTTCCTTTTTATTCTTTAAAAAAAAAAGACAATTAAAACTTTAAAATTGCAGCAAACCAGTCTCTGATAGGGCAACCCTGCTAGCATAGAATTACTTTTACATTAAAGGTTTTCCATTAATTGCTAGTAGGTGGATGTCTCCAATTCAAAATGAAGATTATTACTTTTAGAGTCCTAAATAGTACAGCACTAGAAGGTAGCATTCAACACCTCACCAGAGCCAAATTTGCTTGTTTGATGCATTCATCTAGAGCAGAATGTTAAAATCAATATTCAGAGACCAGGGTCTGCACTATCTGACCACTGAAGCACAGCATCATTTATCTGGAGAGAAAAAAAATCAGCTATTGGACCAGTATATGCCCTCAATTTACAGCCAGTCACAGTGTTAGATACAATTGGATGTGGAAGCCCAGTCACACTGAGGGGAGCATGTAGATCAGGGGTGTCAAACTCATGTCATCACAGCAGCGTCACGTGACGTATGGGGACTTTTTTCCCCTTTGGCATGCATGTGGCCAGCATGGGATGCTTCCAGCCCGTGGGCCAGGAGTTTGACAGCCCTGATCCAGAGAAAGCCTGCTCAGTCACTACTCCTTGTGAGATGCATGAAGAGTGGACCAGAGGGCAGGGCTTTTCTGTAGTGGCCCCCTTCTTATGGAATACACTCCATACGCTCTTTACATTAGGTCTGTCAAACTTCTGGTCAGCAGGACAGATTTGTTACCATCTGGCAGACGGTACAGAATAATAAAAACAAGGACAAATAGGCTGAAAAACAGCTTCTATCCCAGGGCAGTAGCTCTTTTGAATTCTGCTGTATAGTGCAGTGCTGGTGTGGTGTCGGGGGTTTCCAGTTCAATGTGTGAAGGGTGAAGGATGTGTGTTTGTGTTTATTTTCATGGTCATGGTCATGATGTGCACTGAAGATGGTGTTTGATTTTGCTGTATGAGGTGCAGTGACAATAAACTAATCAATCATGTGCTACCCATGCCAGGTTTAGCAAAGGAGAAAAAAGTCCCGATACTTCACATGATGCTGCCATGACGAAATGAGTTTGACACTCCTGCTCTACATGCTCCCCTCAGTTTGACTGTGGGCTTCCACATCAAATTGTATGTAACACTGTGAACAGCTGTAAGTTGAGGGCAAATACTGGTCCAGTATCTGATTTTTTTTTCTCCAGATAAATGATGCAGTGCTTCACTGGTCTCTGAATATTGATCTTTTTAACATTCGTATTTTATTGCATTTTTAATCTAGGTGAAATGTAAATGAGGACCCAGATTGTTGGGGGCAATATACTCACTCTGTAAACCTTTTAGAGAGGGTTGTAAAGATAATAGATAATAGAATTCTTTATTGGCCAAAGTGTGACTGGACACACAATAAATTTGTCTTGGTGCATATGCTCTCAGTGTACATAAAAGATACATTTTGTCAAGAATCATAAGGTACAACAATAAAGCGATATATAAGTCCAAGTGCTATTGCTAATAGACGTTGCAAGCCCATGTTATGCCACACACTAAATAAACACGGATTTTTTTTCTCCAAAAATATATTCAGCCCTTATTTTTCTGCTATTTCAAGGAAATAAAAGACCTAAAATAGTTTTTATTCCCATAAGATTTTGGACCTAGCTGACTCCTCATATAAAGTTAATATTGAATTTATCTCTAGTTCCAGAAATAGTTTTTAATTTATATATCTGCCTTGTATGCAGCAGACACCACACTGAGGCTCCAGAACGGGTTCAGGCTATAATAGTTAAATATTTTAGAGTCCAACCATAGTTTATATACTTTCTGGCAGTTTATATACCCTTACACAACCAATAAAGGAAGAAAGCCATGAATGAAATAATCATAGCAATCCAGTGGTTTAAAACTAGCCACAAGCAGAAACTAGAGAGACAAAGTTTTCCACAGGGACGTCGAGAATTAACCCACCCGTTTCCCTACCGGTAGACACCGTGTTAAGTCTCTACCCCAGGCCTACGAAAGGTGGGTAAATTGGCGGCGCCCGGGAGGCAAAAGCTGCAGCGGGCAGCCTAAAAAGTTGCTCCGCGGTAAGACCGCCTCTTCAACCCGGCTTGCCCCGCCATCCCTCAGAGCAAGCGAATTCGGGGTTACCCATCTCCCGCTGAAGAGCTGACCGCCAGGGAACTATCTCCGGCGGGGAGGATAAAGAGAGGCGGCGATGAGGCGCCAATTCCCCGCCCAGTCACGGCGACAACCGACGATCGCTGGAAGCCTAAGCTATGCTGCTTCAGAATCCAACCGCGTCCGGTTGCCATAGAGACGGGCCTCCGGGAAGGCAAGCTTTGGAAGCCGACAAGTGGAAAGCGCACCAGCCTCTTCGTGGGATACCAAGCCCAAACTTTCTGTCTACGCCCGGACGCGCTTTGCCTGGAGACGCCCGCTCTCCTGGCTTGCTTTTGGCCCTGTGCACAAGGGGCGTGGCGAGCAGGCCAAATGGAAAGGAGCGCACGTGATTTTCATTATTGAACTACCACCTCGCTGTCCTGATTTCTGAGGGTTTGCAGCTACTAAGGCAGAGTCCTTCCAGCAGAAGGTGGGGGTGTGTATGGGGGGGGATCAATAGGATCAGTGGATCATTCTTAATACAGGTAGTCCTTGACTTAACAGTTCTTTTAGTGACCGTTCAAAGTTACGGCACTGAAAAAAGTGACTTTTGACCATTTTTCACAATTACGACCTTTGTAGCATCCCCATGATCAAAATGTGATCAAAATCCAGATGCTTGGCAACTGGTTTATACTTATGACCATTGCAATCTCCCAGGGTCATGTGATCTATTTTTGCGACCTTCTGACAAAGCAAAGTCAATGGGGAAGCCAGATTCACTTAACAATCGGGTTGCTAACTTATCAACTGCAGTGATTCACTTAACTGGGACAAAACTCAATTAACAAATATTCCTCTTAAATTTTGGGCTCAACTGGGGTTGTAAGTCAAGGACTACATGTACTGTGATATTCTGCATCACTCCTCAAATATTTATTTGCAATCCCTTTTGCCTATGCCTATCCCCAACCATAGAATATATATGCCCTGCCCGGCAGCATCTTCAGCAGTGCTCCAAGTCCTCCACCAAGAATATTGCTTTCTGTTCATCCCAAGTCTCTGAGAGATACAGCCTTATAGGCCTTCCTCCCGACTGCTGAGTTGAAAAGTTATGTTCAATTTGTCCCAGAGCTGGCAGAAATTATACTAGTATAAAATGTACTTCTTGGGTGCTGATACTCACTTCTTGCCTCTGTTCCCAGTCATTGACTTAACGGTAACTAGCAGCATAGTTGAACAGATTTTATGTATCTTGAGTCTGTCCTTAATTGGAGTAAGTGAAAAAGCACTACAGAAGGTCCTCTCCTTACTACCACAATTGAGACCAAAATTTCTGTGAGAGATTTGTTAACAGTTGTGTCCCATTTTACAACATTTAACAGTTAAGTGAATCACTATAAGCTGTTGAATTAGTAACATGGTTCTTAAATGTATCTGGCTTCCCCATTGACTTTGCAGAATGCTCACAAAAGGTGATCACATGACCCCAAGATACTGCAACAGTCATAAATATGAGTCAGTTGCCAAGCATGTGAATTTTGATCACGTAACCATGGGGATTCTGCAATGGTCGTAAGTGTGACAAATGGTCATAAATCACATTTTTCAGAGCCATTGTAACTTCAAACAGTCACTAAATGAACTGTCAAGGACTAACTACATTTCTTAACTTCAGCAACTTTAAGACGTGTGCACTTCAACGCCTAGAATTCCCCAGCCACCAGTTCTGGGAGTTGAAGTCCATACATCTTAAAAGTTACTGAGGTTACAGATTAACAGAGTTGGAAGGGACCTTTTAGGTCATCTAATCCAACCCCCTCTCCCAAGCAGGAGACCCTACACCATTTCTGACAAGTGGCAGTCCAATCTCTTCTTGAAAGCCTCAACTTCCACAGCTTCCGAGGGCAAGCTGTTCCATTGGTTGATTGTTCTCTCTGTCAGAAAGTTTCTCCTTATTTCCAGGTTAAATCTCTCCTTGTTCAGTTTCCATCCATTATTCCTTGTCTGGCCTACAGGTGCTTTAGAAAAGAGCTTGACCCCTTCCTCTCTGTAGCAGCCCCTCAAATATTGGAACACTGCTATCATGCCTTCCCTGGTCCTTCTCTTCACTAGACTAGCTATGCGGTTAAGAAATATTGCACTACTCTAACACTAATATAGCTAAGCAGGAGTTAAGCCTCTTTGATGCACAAGGTTGAGATGAAGATTAGATAACCATCTGTTTGGAATGATGTAAGGACTCCTGCCTTGAGAGGGGTGAGGCGGGGTGTTTGAGATCCCTTCCAGCCTTATGATTCTATGAAGATAAAGCCCCAGGACATGGCACAAAAGCTGGGGGAGGGAGCCAATCATAGCACTGTGTTAGGAATATAAGTCACCTAACAGCTATTTGGGTTGGAAATATATAAACCAGGATAGACATTTTAATACTGTATCTTTAAGAAAATGCAAAACTGTAGTTGGGTGTGGTTTCTCAAACGGCCATAAGATGCAGCCAGAAACCTGGGTTGTCTTAGTCTTAGTCTCAGAAGAGAGTGTGAGTGAGTTTCTGTTTCCTTCTGTTGGAAAGTATTGCAGTTCCTCCATTTTTCCTGTATTGACTGTTATTCTTGGATTTGATGTAAGTCTGACACTGAACTGTTTTTTGATACTGGACTTTGTTACTGGATTATCCCTGGACTAAAAACTGACTGATCTTACCTGTGAATGACTTTGGACTGTTTGTTTTGAACTTTGCTTAAACCTTTCTAGAAGTAAAAACCTACATTTAATGTAGTGTATCTGTGTGCTGTGTATGTATTATTCAAACACTTCTCTCAAATACGTCTCCCTGTATGCGCTCATTCACAACTATGTATACACTTATACTTATTATCTTGTAAACAATTGGCAAATCAAATAAATAAATAAATAAATAAAAATAAAATAAATTCTCCTAACGGGGAATTACCTCAACACACTGCAGCAGGAATATTCACCACAGCCTGCTGACCTGCTTAAAGGGATCTATTTTGGGCCCAGTTGCAGGTGCCTGTCATGGATCCCTCAAAACAACTCTGCATACATTACTACAGCTGGTTACATAGCTTTTTTCTAATCCTCAAAAGTCCTTTCAAGCAAAGGCTTCTTAGAATTATGGCAATTACATTTATATTTATCTTCAATATCTAAAAAGGAATTAATAGACAATTATTGTGCTAACTCTACAATATCATTATTTTCTGATCTTTGGATTTGTCAAGCTCGCAAGAAGTTTGAATAAAAAATATCTGACACTAAGGTTATGTGAGGAAAAGCTTTGTAAGAACCATTCAGGGATGTTATTTTCCCAACTCATGTAGTACAGAGGAACTCTGTATTTGTGTTTCTTTAAAAATGGTTCTTTACTTTGTATAGCAAGAAAATCCATCTTTAAAGCTATTTAAGAGAACGCTATTAAACCCAAGCTCTTTCATAGAATGAAATGCTGAAATACCACCAATAATGGCTTTACAATTTATAGGAGAAAGGTGACATTTCTCATTAGTGACTTGAAATTCACAAAAATCCAAGAGATACCAGCGATTAAGTATTTCAAATGCCATTCGTAGGAGAAGATGCATTTCTTTTAACTTGGGGCTTTCCAGTTGTGTAGGACTTTAACGTATAACAATTTCTATGCAGCTCAAACTAATAAGAAAACACAATTTAAAGGCTTTTTGGGGGGTCAGGTTTAGAGAAATTTGTACTATGGAGGTAATCCCCCGTTAGACCAATATGTCAGACGCGCGATATTTGATGCTATTCTCTATTTTGAACTTGAATAACGTATGCTATACGGATCTAATTTTTTTTCCTCTTGTGCATTTAGTCGTAATGATCAAATTCCGCCAAAAGCTCCTTCTCTATCACTTGAACCCGTGAACTAAAAGCCGGAACTCTACTTCTGTCCTATAATGCGCTGACGGCCCTATGGAAAACATCGCGCCTTGCATTTTGGGAATTGAAGTCCTTCCATTTGTTCTCTGCAGATCAGTGGGCAGATCCGTACCTGCTGCAAACTACGATACCCACAATCGCTTGCAAAACGTAAATGGTGCGACGAGCGGCAAGTATTTGGGACCGTAAAGGTCGCGGCGGCCTTTGCTCTGTTCGAATTCTTTCAACAAGTGAAAGCTGCAAAGAAAAACATTGCAATGGGTCGTTCAACGGCTACGGGCGCTTTGCACCGAGAGTAAACTGCAGAGCGATGCCTCCGGCTGCTTGCACAGGACGCAAGAGGGCTGGAATTGATTCCTGGGTCTTTTGGGGGGCAGAAAGAGTTCGTAAATCATAATGCTTTCCGTCTTTGTGCGAGGAATTTGCTGTAGTGACCAGCTGCTGAGATCTGCGGTGAAGCAGGCGCTTGCACGACATAGGACGGCATTTCTAAACACTTGGGCATGGTCCAGAGTAGGACAGGGGCTCAGTCACGACCATGTCTTGAGTCCTGAGACAGGCTGCGATGTCACAAAGCGAAGCCTATGGGTCCCCCTGGGTGCCCTGAGATTCGAAAAATCAGAGAACAGGAGCTCGCAGGTACCTGCGCAAAGTAAAAAAGGAGACGTTTCAATCTCAGCTGCTCAAAAAGGTAAGGAGGGAGAGAGAGAGAGAGACATTGCTTTCACTGATTAAAACGCTCAGGACTGTAAAACTTTCCCTAAAATGCTGCAGCTTTCCGTGTTTCCAAATATCTCTGTTACTCTGTGGGAAAGAAAAATGCAGCCCACCAAACGATTTAGGAAATGGGATCTAGAGTATCTTGCTATGGACAATGCTCTGGACGATTTCAACATTTGAAGAGTAAAAAATTTGCCTGCTTTCAACAAACCCACCTTGGCCTAATATAGTCTTACAATCTCAGCCTGCAAGGCCAAATATGATAATTTCAGGAGTGAATCTTAAGCAATTCTGGAGGGCATGTGGTTGCAGCAAAATGTGGAAGAAGAGGGGATCTCACAGCCAGCTGGGTTTTGCAGAAATAAAAATATTAGTGTTTTTCATTTTGCTGGCATTTGTAGTTCAGCCATTATGCTGGATGGAACTTAGGCACTTTGACGGCCAAAGGTGAAATATCTTGGCAGGCATAAGGCCTGTTTCCATTCCTAAGTTGAATGTTTGGCAGAAAATAAAATTTACTGTTTCCACTATCTGTCTATTTCAAGTCACCTTGGGCACATGATTTATTATCAGAGCAATGGGAAAGCAGCTTAGCAGACTTGGATGTTGCTTTTGGATGGTGACAGAATTAGGAGAGACATAGTACTTAGTTTATCCTAGTACAAAGGACAATTTAAAGTTAACTCATTTTTAGGCTAGGGACGAGCCTGTGTTCAATTGGATTCATTCTTTGTAATTCTCCAGTGGCGCTTGATGCATTTCTTCCAGTATTTCATCTCCAGACCTCTAAAAAGAAAGCAACATTCCAGGTTCAGCACATAATGAGAGATTTCATAGAAGCAATGCCATCCAAGGCTGTTGTCCCATCCCAATTCAAGGCTAAAGTCTCAATCAAATTGGTGTTTGGGGCAGAATACTAATAGGTCTTGTCTTCCTAGTGGGGAGGGCAACACCAGCAAACTAAAAAAAAAGACGTACCATAAAAACTGGTGGTAATGTCCTCAAAGTTGCCCCGAGATCTAACGTCTCCCATGGAGCCTTCATGACTTGGGTCAAGTCTGTGTGACCATAGTAGCCATGAATTACTGAATTGCTGCAGTCTTTATGGCATCTGGGACAGTTTGAAGTCACCAAGAACTGTTAACCTCCGCAACTCTGCTGATAACCTATCAACAGTCTGTCGGTTCAGACAAGAATCTCATTACACAGCAAGCAAACTTGGTACAGCAGTGTCAAATCCAGTATTGACCAGAGGGCCTCACATCCAATACGTGCAAAAAAGAACCTGTGAAAATAATCAAAAGATTAATAATAATAATAATAATAATAATAATAATAATAATAATAATAATAATAATAATAGCAGATAATAGCCATGATTCCAGAGAAGGAAAGGGTGGGTGGCAATTATTGTCAGATTTGAGACCTAGGCCTCAGTAATGAATGCCAAATCAGCTGTCTTGTCCACAGCAAGTTTATCACCAACCTTAGATTCAAAATAGCAACGACTGGAATCCAGGACCATGCAGAATCCAGTGACTTGGAATTGATATGATACTGATTAATTCTCAACAGAACTAAAAACTCTTTCTTGCTCCTAATTAAGCAATATTTCTTGGCATAAAGTTAACTGTTATACTATGCCAGGGGTGGGATACGACAGGGTTAACTACTAGTTCGTGATTTACCAGCTTCCCTGCAGGCTGTGAGCGGCAGCCTGTAAATCGTCATCAGCAGCTGCGTGCGGAGAAGCAGCCTTTGAAACAGCTCTCTTTTCTTGCTTTTCTAACTGCAGCTGTGCCTCGTTCGGCAGCTGAAGTTGAAAAATCAGGAAATAAAGATCAGGTAAGAAACCGGGTGGGCAGTTGGGTAAAAACATCAGCAGACATAGAACCAGTTCTATGTCTGCTGCTCTACAGAGGTGGACAGAACCGGTAGAAACCCACCCCTGAACTATGTTATTTATAATATATATGTTTTGCTCGGGGGTCCTTGGTTCTCTCTTTTTTTTCTTGAAAATGTTTCATTACCCTAACTAGGTAACATCAGTGCTAGTTAGTAACATCAGTGATGATGTTACCTATTTAGGGTAATGAAATATTTGCAAGAAAACAAGCCAGCTCAGAGAGCATCAAGGACCCCTCATTTCAACCCTGAGCTACAAATATACTTTTTTAGATATGTTTTACTATTTGTAAAATACAACACATCTTGACTATTCCAATTTTATTTTTATTGAAATTTATTCTGTTTTTTATTGCTGCCACATCCTTTGTTTTCTTTTTACTTTGCTTTTCTTAGCTGGTCTATGATTTGTAATAGCATCTCTCTCAAAATATACAAGCTCAGTAAACATTTTGGTAGTCAAGTTTAACTTAGTATATTTATGAAGTGAAAAACACAGCACAGTTGAATCTTTTCCAATTAGTCAAAAACCTGGGCCAAGCCATAAAGGAAAATAATCCTGGCAATGTTTTGCCTCTGCTGTTTTTAGAACTGTTATTCCAGAACAAAGATAAGTATTTTCTTGTCCATCTTGTCTCTGCCACGCTAGTTAGTAATTTTAAGTAAAGGGAGAAAATAGATATTGGCAGAGATTCAGTCAAAAGATTTGAATAATCCAAAATATTTTGCTGCCCCCATTAGTGGAACAACAAAATCCTTTCTATATAACAAATTAACCAAGAACAGTATCCACTGATCAAAACTAAACAACCATAGAAAGTTCCTGATCAAAAATCCATCCAAACAGATATATTTTTAACATTCTTGTGAACGGAAAGCACAAGTACCTCTTCCTGTTCCTTAGTTCAGTAACAAGACTACATAAGATTCTTAAAGACATGGAAAATGAAACAGCTGTATAATGTTAGTACATGTCATAGAACTAACAGTTTTAATGCTTTTCTTATTCTCAAGATAAAAGCTGTTAACATGTTTTGATTCTCAGAGGATGCTCTAAATGACACTAATTTTAGACACTGCACTTTTTAAATCTGATATTTTACAGCTATCTTGTTTGTTTTTTCTCTTTCAGTGAAAGAAGCAGGAAGAGATTTCACTTACTTGATAGTGGTGATTATTGGGATCGGTGTGACAGGTGATTGAAACTGGGGGTGGGGGGGAATTCTAGTTTACAAGTGCTTTACTAATGGCTTTTTAGAAGATTTTTGATTCATTGGCATCTGGTTTTCTTCTCCTTCAGGTGGGTTATTCTATGTGATTTTTAAGGAATTATTCTCTTCTTCCAGTCCCAGTAAAATCTATGGAGACGCCTTGGAGAAATGCAGAGCTCATCCTGAGGTTTGTTTTCAAATTTCAATGAAAAAGATGTTGATTGTAGAAAAAAAAATTGCTCTTAATTTTTTTTAAAAAAAACTTACTTTAATTGATCCTCAGAATAAATGGAACTTGGTTTTATCATTATCAAGTGAAAGATAGTTTTCTTAAAGAGAACTGATTCGCAACATCTGAAAATAAGATTGGCCTTTCTTCTTCTACCATACCAGAAACATTACATCATAGCATTTTCACAACATATGAGCTATAAATAATCTATCTAAAATAAGCCACAGGTGGTAGAAAGAGTATCTGTGCCTACTGCTCCACTGTGTTCTTTTTTCATGAATTGACATTTTGAATATTCTTCATAAATTCCAACATGGTTTTCAAATAATTCAGCAAGGAAACTCAAATTTTATATTAAAAAATTACTGAGGGGAGACCACAGAAACTATGTAATTGCAAAGGCAGGTAATATTAGACCAGATGAAAAGCACATGAAGCTTTTTTCCCAAAGAAGCATGCTTCCTCCTCATTTTACTAAAATTTTGAAATCAGTATAGTAAAAAGATATAAATTATGTCTGATGGGAGATTATATAGCATTAGTAGTTATTCTGATGGAACTATTCACTAGTCCTGGATAGAAAGTGGATCACTAAGCATGTTGTCTTCTTGTAACTAATTAGGTAATAGGAATTTTTGGTGAACCCATAAAAGGCTATGGTGAAGCTACACGCCGTGGGAGAAGACAGTTGGTCAGGTATCTATTAATGCAACTCTTAACATTTCTATTAAATGTTATTTTCTGGTTGTTACTGTCTTTGAACTTGTTTTTACATTATTCAGCTTAATTAATTCTTCTTATATTTCACTTGAAAAGTAGTAATTTAGTCTAACCTAAATTTACCCCAATGAATGCAATATTAATTAGTAACAGTCAAAGCTTTGGATAATTTCTTAACACATATACAAGCATTTGTTTAGTATTAATTGTTATCCATGTCAGTTGATGCTGATATACATCTTATATTGTTATGGTATAGGTAGTCCTCAACTTAAGACCACAATTGAGCCCAAAATTTATGTTGCTAAATAAGAAATTTGTTAAGTGAGTTTTGCCCCATTTTACGTCTTTTACTTGCTACATTTGTTAAGTGAATCACTGCAGTTAAATTAGTAACTCAGTTGTTAAGTGAATCTTAACATTGACTAGTCCAGGGGTTTTCAACCGTGGCAACTTTAAGACTTATGGACTTCTGGAGTTGAAGTCCACAAGTCTTAAAGTTGCCACGGTTGGAAACCCCTGGACTAGGAGACAATGGATATATTGAATTCATAGATTTCCTCTGGCTTAAAGCAATGAAATAGCTTCTCTTTTTATATATTCCTATGACTATTAGAATCTTGCAGGAAACCATTTTGGAACTGGAAAGTCAGGTTTTGTTCCTTTTTTTCACAGTGTGGAAATCTGGTTTTGTTTTTCTTTAAGCATCTTGTTTTCAATAATGCAATTTTTGCCTTAAAGAATAATTTAGAAAGTAAGTTATGTATATAGGATTTATATAACAATTGGATCAGCAATTTTTCTAGATATCTTAAATCCTAAACTTGTATCACATTGAAAGAAAGTCCAGGTTTACGACATTCCAACAACAGAATCAAACGTGTTATACCAGTGATGGCTAACCTTTTTGTCCTCATGTGCCAAAAGTGCATGCATGTGTGCATACGTGCCTGCACCCCTAATGCAATGCACGCATGACCATCACCCCGCCCCCCTGCACATGCATGCACATCTCCCATGCATGCCCCACCCCCACATGTGCAGCAGATACCCAAAAATCAGCTGGCTGGTGAGAGGTGTGCGTGCATGTGCAGTGACCTGATCTGGAGTGACAGCTCGCGTGCTGGCAGAAATGGCTCTGTGTGCCACTTCCGGCATGCGTGCCATAGGTTCGCCATTACGGTGTTATAGTGTAGCTGAAGAGTAATGAATGTCATTTTCAGTGTGAAGACATGGAAGATTGCTGGCAGGAAGATTGCTGGCTATTTGTCAGTTTATTTAAATTAAGACAAAAAGATGCCCTATACCCATGATGGAGAACCTATGGCACGCGTGCCACAGGTGGCACGCAGAGCTATTTATGCCGGCATGCGAGCCCCAGCCAAGCTTACCTCACTGTGCATGTGCACTCCTCCCAGCTGATTTTTCGGCCTGTTTGAAGCCTTTTTCAGCCTCCCAGAGGCTCAAGGGAAGCCTCTGCAGCCTTTGGAGGCCGAAAAACAGGCCCATTTTGTCACTTCCCATATTTCTGGAAATACCGGAAGTGATGAAATAGGCCCATTTTTCGGCCTCCAAAGGCTGCAGAGGCTTCCCTCGAGCCTCTGGGAGGCCGAAAATCAACTGGGAGGTGCGCAGATGCGCACCGCAGGTAAGGGGGTGGGGGAATCGCGCGCATTGCCTTCTGGATGCTGGCACGCGAGCGCATACAATTTTCTTCACAGGAGCCTAAAAAGGTAAGCCACCACTGCCCTATACAACTATCTAGTACATTTTATGATATTTTAACTGTAAATTCAGGAATGCATGTGGATCCTTGATCTCTATGCCATAATGATAGGTGTTACTAGGCAGGGGGCTTAGAAGCTAATATTTACTGAAGAAGGAAGTCCATATTACTGTTGTATTCTTTAGCTTCTGACTTTATCCTAGTGTACACTTGATTCAGTTCACTTCCACTAAATACTCCTGCTGAAATTTGCTTCTGAATAAACTTCATAGAATTAGACATAAATAATATTTATCGCAATATTCTATCTGATTGTGTTGGTAGATTTGGAAGTCAAACCCATGGTAGGTTAGGTATAAAAATATTTAATTACACTCTGGAAGGAAGATAATGTTTACTGTGGCACAGATCCAAAGTACATATAATAAATGGATAGATCTAATCAAATACAATTTAGGAAACTAGTGTGTCTCAACAAAATAGTTCAAAATTTTCCTATCCTTTCTTCACACTCCATGGAAAAACATTAACATTTCATCGTACTAGTATTGCTCACTACCTACCTTTGTAGGACTTTGTGTTTCCATCTGGTTAATTATTTACCATTGGCTGCACCATATATTTAAGTTTTGAAGTCACAATTGCTTCATCCAAAAATTGCACATGTACGATTTGAAGAATTGTTTTCTTAAGTTGGAAAATATTTCTTTTGTGCTTTTCATCAGCCATATTGAGTTTATAAAAGATGGATTGAAATACATGCGTCTAAAATTCTACATTGAGGGATCTGAAAAAGGAAAACAAGGAACTGTTCATCTTGAAGTCAAAGAGGTACAAAAACTCCAATAAAATATAGACCCTAATTTAATGCTGATGTGGAAAACCTCCAGCTTGTAGAAGTGTAAGGCTCTTCCACAAAGTTTCATACCATGTAAGCTGGGACATGACAGCACTGTGTATTAAGAGTAGGTTTACCTATAAAGGAGAAGAGAGTGAATGTGAGAATTTCTTCTTTTTAAAAGAAAATCCAGCCCTTGCTTATCAGCGGAGACCGAGTGGAGCAAGTGGCCAGTTTAAAGTTTTTTGGGTGTTATCATAAAAGAGGACTTGACCTGGGGCATTCACATTGCAGCACTGGTCAGAAGGGCCCAGCAGAGATTATACTACCTAAGACTTTTCAGGAAACAACAGCTGAATGAAAAACTGCTGGTGACCACCTACCGCTGCACCATAGAGAATATTTTAACTTACTGCAACTGTGTATGATTTGCAATTGCACAGTGGCAGATAGGACATGGTTAACATCATTGCCCAAAGGATCATTGGTTGCCCTCTCCCCTCTTTGGAAGAGCTTTATAGCTCCCGCTTTCTTTAAGAAGTTCAAAACATTCTTACAGATCCATCTCATCTTGGGCGCCCCTTTCTTTGAACTATTACCATCTGGCAGGTGGTACAGGACAGTTTAAACAAGGAGAAATAGGCTGAAAAACAGCTTCTATCCCAGAGCAGTAACTATATTGAATTCTACTTTATAGTGCAATATTAATGGAATATCAGGGGTTTTCAATTCAATTGTATAGAGTGCGAAGGATGTGTGTTTGTGTTTTATTTTTATAGTTATAATGTACACTGAAGATGGCATTTATGTTGTATGAAGTACAATGACAATAAAGTAAAGTAAACTTTTAAAAAAGCACTGTGGGTAACCAGGATTTTAGGCTTTCAGCTCCTGAAATTCCACAGCTCAGATAATGTGATCTTTGTGACATGGAAGGATTCAGCATTTAGGTCAGATTTATTTCCACATCTCTGATTTAGTACTTAAATTACCCACATCTTCTCTTTCTTCTTTTTTAACAGAAATTACCCTTCTTTTTTTAACAGAATCCTGAAAGTAGAAAATATGAATATCGTTATATATTTGTGGATATTGATAGCTACCCTAGAAGAACAATAATTGTTGAAGATAATAGATAGCGGAATGATTGAAAAAGTCTTTCATTGCTGGGATACTTGTTGATAATATGCAATGAACAACAGAATAAATATAAACATGAAAAAGGTAACAAGGCATACTGCATCCTTACAGACTCGGTGTAATTCAGAGGAATCAGTGGAATTATATATAATGAAGTTACATAAATATTGGAAATAGACAATTATGAAAATAATAGAAAGGCAAATAATTTTGTTATTTTTATACAAAATTGGCAGGAAGTCTCACTGCAGCAAATGTGTTAATCATCAAATGTTATAAATGAGTGAATTAGTTTTTATCTACGTGCATCCAACAAGCAAATACTCATAAACTTCTAAATTTTTGGAATGAATATTTCTGTTTAAACGGATTTCATATCAATATTGTAATAAAGAATACCTAAAATGTATTAAATGGTGTTCTTTTTTAATACAGTTTGTGTGCACATGAAGATGATAATGTATTTTGCCCCAGAAACATTAATTTAGAATCTTAATGTTAATATATATATTAGTTTGAAATTAGCATACTATTTATTTATTTATTTATTTGCAGCCAATAGTGAAATTGTGCCTTTTTCATTTGCATCTATGGCCATAGTCTTTCATTTGTTGAATTTTTGTCAGGAACATGAATGATCCTATGAAATAAGCATACAACAGGTGAATATCTATCTAAACAACAGTATTTACCCTATCTAACCTGACAATGATGACTAGTAACTATAATGATAGCATAAAACTAGCTTTGGGTGAAACAGTATCTTTTGGATCAGTCACATTGGCAGTTAGGTAGCACTAAGAGAATAGCATCCTGCTGTGACATTTATAGTCATTGCAACCTTCTGTTAAATTGTCACAAAGTCTCGTATTCTAATCTAAGCTCTTCCAAGGGCAGAGGAATATTTAACAATAATCAAATAATTCTATACAGTATTTAGCATACTTATTTGGCTTCATTGAAAGTAAATAATGTTGCCACCTGTTGTTTTAAGGGAAATTGCACCAATTAATTTCTTTCTAACTCATCTTTTTCCATAGTTTATTTAGATCTAGATCTTCCTGATGCAATTAATGTATGCCTCAAAGTAATTACATTGTTCAAAAATTCAGAAAATGTTCATATGTTTGGAAAATACGGAAGGGGGGGAGGGAGAAGGTCAGGAAGGCTTGTACTTTTAAATTAGATAATTAGAAATCTAGCATCTGACATTTTTGTTTGCAATATGGCACTCTTATCACATTTAAAAGCCTGTGTCCCATTCCATACACACCCCCTCCAAAGTCTCAGGGTAGCTTGATAGCTGCAAAGACAATTTAAAACAATTTAACAAAACACAGGCTGCAGTATGCCTATTGACTTCATGTACAAGAATAAAGAGTATAATTCCACATGCTGAAATCTGTCATAGGCCCAATTTGGGATATGCAATAAGTTGCTAATTTTCAGGTAGGCTATATAAAAGTACTCTGCAAAATCAAATAGCCATGCAGAATGTAATTTTGCCCACTGAACACTTTGGGAAGAATAACTCTTAACCCTGTTTGTAACCATCCACAAAGGAGATTATAAACAAGTAAGCTGAACATGTGTTCATAGTTTGCCTAGACTGGCCGTTGTGCACAGAGGAGCACATGGAACAGTGGAAACTTGTCCAGTAAAGAATAGATCAGTTTGCAGAAACAATCTTTCTCCTAAGCTGGAAGTTTCTTTTGTGTTGGTTTTTTTCTTGCACATCTTTTGTTCCCTTGCCTCTTGCAAAACCACCTAGATTGGAAAATAGTCAGTGATGCTTTTTGATAAGGAGGAAATTTTCAGAAAGAGGCTCACACTAAAGATTGCTGCCTTAAAATTCCCAGCATTTTGTTCCATATTAAACACTATAAAATATGCTGTCTGGCATTGTTTTGGGGTTTTTACTTCCTCATGTACATCTGTATAGCAAGATGGAAGCCATTTGGAACTGAAACATACTGCCAAGCTATAAAAACAAAACACCATTTCAAAGGATTGGAAGTAATGCAGTTTTATTCATTCATAAAGTGAGAAAACCTGCCACTTCAGCATGTATTCCTAATTCTACTAATATATGGTGTAATATAATTGCAAAATATGATTTTATTACTAAATTGGTTGCCAAGAAACATCACAATATAATTAGTTCCATTTTATTGGCATCCATTTCTCTCACACATGCACACACATAGACACATGTGTTTCTGTATTTTTAAAAAGCAGCAGCTGTGTTTTATTATAAAAGACTGCACAATTCTCAAAACTGTGTAACAGACATCAGTAACTCAACTACAGTTTAAAGTGGCTAAATGCATTTGTATCCATTGAACAAATCCATTGGCTAATGAATGGATATGTATTTTTTAAAAAAATTTAGAAGACGTAGTATTTACCTAACATTGAAGAGATGAAATAGTCAGCTTCATTAAATTTTGTTACCAGTGGGATTGTTGAAAGACACTTTTATGTCAACCACCGTTTCTATTTCCTTAGCTTTCCAAAATGATCTCTGAACACTTTCATTTCTGACAACTCATAGTTGAAGGCTTTGATTGCAGCTCAACTATTATCAGACAGTGATGATGTTATCCATTCAGTTGTTTCCAACACTTGGTAATTCTATGAGCCAGATCTCTCCCCACCTTCCAATCTTGCACTAATTCTATGCTCTGGCTGGTGTCAACTTTTCAGAGAAGGGTACTAAATTGTGGAGGAGATGTGAAGCTGTTAAGCAAGCATTCTTCTCCAGACAATGGAAATTCTGGAGCCAGGAGGAGAAGCAAATGCAGATGTTTCTTCTGAAAGGAAATAGATCATCCCCAACTTTGCCCAGGTCTGGTGTTTCCAGCTGAAAACCATTTTTAGGGCACCATTGCTGAGCCAAAAGGAAAAATCAGCTCAGCTTTTGGAAAGAGAGAACAGTTTAACATTTCAACAGAACTGAGACAAACATGCGAGTGGTGCAGACTTCATATGGAAGTGTAGTGAGAGGTGGTATCCAGCATTGTACTATAATTTGCGATGGCCAGTGCAGCAAGTAACGTGGATAGTTCTCCGGAACCATGAATAAATGCTTCTTTGCCGGTTATAGTTGGATTAGGTTTGCTTTGGATTAGTGAATAGAAGAAACAGATTTTACTTAAGGTGGAGATGGGAAAAATTGCAGGTCAGTTTGTTCCTATCTAGAAAACAATGTACATTTATTTAACTAACATAAAGTCTATCTAAATAACATTGGGGGGGGCATTTTTCTATCAAATTCCTGCCCATAAGGCTAATGTCCAACTATTTACAAAGTCTGCACTACTATTACTATTAATCTTCTCATCACTCCTTATCACCCATCCCCTCCCATTTGTGACTGTATGACTGTAACTTTGTCGCTTGTATCCTTACGATTTATATTGACTGTTTCCTAGTATGATTTGATTGCTTAGTGTACCCTTAGTGTTATACCTTATGATTCTTGACTCTTGATCAATGTATCTTTTATATACACTGAGAGCATTTGCACCAAGACAAATTCCTTATGTGTCCAATCACACTTGGCCAATAAAAGAACTCTAATTCTAAAGTATTTTGCCAGAATAGGAAGCAAGCAGCTTTTCATGTTTACATTTGTTGTGATTGTGTTGTGGGTCAGGGGATGGAAGGTTATATTTTTAATCTCTTGATTTCATGAAATGCTGGCTAACCAATGTATTTTTACACTCAGCTAGAGTAAAGATAGGATTTAAAGATAGGATTTGTCTATCAAATTTATATAGCTGCCTATCTTGCACAGCATGAGTTTAGATAGCATACAGTAAAAAGCAAATCATTTGAAAAGTTATTTAAAAAACATTCCACGATTCTGATCTATATTACATGTGTGATTGGAGACACTTAAAGCTTATTTCTTCAGACTAATGTTTTGCAAAATTGCAGCCAGAGGCTATACAATAAATATTTTCATGCTTTTGAGAATTTTGCTTGAGTATTGCTTGAATATTTTTCTAGTATCACAGTTTTGGCATATTTTGATTTTCTTATATATTTATTTGGAAAGTAAAACTATATTCACAAACTTATATTTCTGCTAGCTACTATGGTTGTTCTGTACCTATGAGAGAGCAGATATTTGAAAATACATACAAAAGGCTTCATATACAAAGCTCTTTAATTTCAGTAGCCTAGTATTCTTCCAGATTGAAAGCTAGATTGATAGCACTATCAAAGACCAAAAGTTATCCCTGGGATTTCACACACTCGAGCAGATTCTTAGGAAGAAAATGTGGCAAGAACAATTTACTGAGCTTGCAACGTTCCCTGCTGGCTTCCCCCTTGGTTTTGTTTGTGGGAAGCCAGCGGGAAATGGTTGAAAATGGTAATAACCCGATATAGTCCTCTGAGACATCATAATCATGATCTGGGCACCCAAGCAACCCAACCCGTATCAAGTTCATATGACTACAGGCACGCTGCAATGGCTGGAACTGTGAGGATAGGTTGGATAGCAACTTCTTCAGCGCTGCCATAATTTTGAGCGGTCGCTGAACAAAGGGATTACAACTTCCTGTACTGTACATGGAGACAAAGAGGTCGTATACAGATAGTCCTCGACTTATGACCACAGTTGAGCCCAAAATATCCACTGCTAAGCAAGGTAGTTAAGTGAGCTTTGCACCATTGTATGATCTTCCTTGCCACAGTTGTTGACCTCTCTTGTTAAGTAAATCTCATTTTAGGGATTTTCTTGCCGTGGTTATTAAGTGAGTCACTGCAGTTGTTAAGTTAGTAACACAGTTGTTAAGTAAGTCTGGCTTCCCCACTGACTTTGCTTGTCAGAAGGTCACGAAAGGGGATCACAGGCCACTACAACTCTCATAAATATATGCCAATTGCCAAGCTTCCAAAGTTTCATCATGTAACCATGGGGATGCTGCGACAATCATGAATGTGAAAAACAATCATAAGTCATTTATTTCAGTACTTCTGTAATTCAAACGGTCACTAAATGAATAGTTATAAGTTGAGGACTAACTTTACATAGATTAGAAAGAAATCTGAGGACAAATATAGCACAAAGATAAAGTATGCCCACTAGAATGTGAGAAATTAGGGTATTCCTTATTCAGAAAGTAAAACTTGAAAATTCTAGAACTAGATATCTGCCCTAGTGACCATAAAATGGCTTTGCACCTTTTTTTCCTTTTTTTTCTTTTTGCAAGCGGCCAGTCACACTCAAATGCTTTTGCTTTCTTGATAATTAAAACTTTTTTGATTTCTGAATTAGGGTATCTGGCATTTTAACCCGTGAGGAACAAACCAAAAAGGAAGAAATTATCCTAACAGTCTTTTAAAACGCTTTTTAAATTGTGTTCTATTCTTTTTAATATCCAGAATAATTTGGATATCAGGTCGCCT